GACGTTCAAATTGCCTGCGGTAATCCTTTCTCAATATGATAGGGAGGAACTTATCTAGAAATAGCCGGGAGAACTGCTCCAAAGTCAGTGCAGGCGATCCAACTAGTCTGGTCAATGTATAATCTCTCCACCACCTCTTGGCGGATCCCGTCATCTGAAATACAGCAAAATCGACTCCATTGGTCTCAACTATACACATGTTCCGCAACACCTCATAGCAGCGGTCAAGATAATCCTGTGGGTCCTCAGAAGGTGTACCACTGAAGTGAACTAGAAAGAGTTTAGTAAACTTGTCCAACCTCAATAAAGCCTCAGAAGACATGGCGGGCCTATCACCGGCTTGTGCCGCAATAACTGGCTGAACTACCCCAACCGACGGGGCTGCTGGAGCCTGATTCTGGGGAGCCATCTGCTCCGGAGCGGGAGTAGTGGGTGTTTGTGCTCCTCCCTGAGCTTGTGAGATGGCTGGTGCCACTGGAAATGTAACATTCTGGGACACGCCCTCCATAAGACTCACCAAATGGACTAGAGCGTCCTGAAGCACTGGAGTAGCTATGAATCCTTCCGGTGCCTGAACTGGTCCAATTGGTACAAATCTGAACTTGAACCTCCTCCTGAAGATCCACCTGAGGTTCTACAACAGGTGATGCTGCTCGAGCTCTAGACTGAGCTCTACCTCTGCCTCTGCCTTAGCCTCTAGCGCGACCTCGGCCTCGACCCATACCCATGGTCATAGTTGCCACCGAGGGCTCTGGTCCCTGCCCGTCGGTAGATGTATTACGTATTCTCGCCATCTGCGAGAGAATAAGAATAAAATGGTTCAATCATCGATGATAGAATAAAATGGCACGACAGAATAAGAAAGAAGTGATATTGTTCCTAAACTTTATAGCCTCTGAAAGATAAGTACAGACGTCTCCGTACCGATCCTTCAGACTCTACTAAGCTTGCTCGTGACTCGTAAGACCTAGGTGACCTAATGCTCTGATACCAACTTGTCACGACCCAAAATTCCCACATTCGGGACCGTGATGGCGCCTAGCATTTCACTTGCTAGGCAAGCCAACGTTAGAATATAATTAGCCATTTTAACACAATTTTGAATTAATTAATAACAAAGAAACAAATGCAAAAATAAAGTCTGAAATAAAGTGAATAATCCATAATAATCACGATGTCTAAATACCATCCCAGAACTGGAGTCACAAGTGCACGAGCTTCTAGAATAATACAAATAAAGGTCTGAATAAAATAAAGCTGTCTAAAAGAAAACACACAGATAAAATAAAGTCGAAGGGGACTTCAGAACTGCGGACGTTGTGCAGTTATACCTCAAGTCTCCTCTGGGTAGCTAAAATCCGAGCAAGTTTATGGTACACCGCTGGGACCAACTCCAAAATCTACACAAGAAGTGCAGAGTATAGTATGAGTACAACCGACCCCATGTACTCTGTAAGTGCTGAGCCTAACCTCGACGAAGTAGTGACGAAGCTAAGGCAGATCACTTACATTAATCTCTACGCAATAATAGTAATAACAACAGTAATAGAAATAAAACAGGTAATTCATTTCAACAGTTGAAGCCAACTCAGCAGTCATAACCAATTATTAGTTCAGTCAATTTCTGTTGCGGTGTGCAACCCGCTCCAACAATATAATTCTTCAATATATTTCCGTTGCGGCATGCAACCCACTCCAACAATATAAACTTAAAATATAATCCGTTGCGGCATGCAACCCGATCCCCCAATATATTTCTTTTTATTTCCGTTGCGGCATGCAACCCACTCCAACAATATAATTTAACAACTCTTAAATATAATAAAAATACTCTCATAAATACCACATTCAGTAAGGAATTATTAGGCAACAAGGCACACAATATTTATAAATTATTTAGGAAACAAGTAATGACAAGTAGCGATTAATTGTGAAAATCAGGGAGAAAATAGATAATTTCATATTTAATATGCTAAATGTCAAGTAGCAATTAAGACACATAAATCAAATAAGCATGTAACAATTATTACATGAATTCAAGAATTAATATTGACAAGGGATATGAGAGAAATAATTATTATAACAATTAATTCGTGTCTTAAACCAATTTATGATTTTTAAATAATTATGCAAACAATTAATTTGATGACGTATAGACACTCGTCACCTCGCATATACGTAGTCCACATGAATTTCACATAGCAAATAATTTAAGGGTTCTATTACTTCAACTCAAGGTTAAGATTCCAATCAACTCCCTTTGCAATCAACTCAAGATTCCAATAAACCTTTGCCTCGCGAATTCGTGTCCTAAATCCTCAAATCTAATCATAAATAATTCAATATACTCAATACAAATCGTAGGAATTAATTCCATATGAATTTATAATTTTTTCGGATTAAAATCCGAAATTCATCTAAAAAATCAACAGTGAGGCCCACGTCTCGAATCTCAAAAAAACTTACGAAATTCGAACACATGTTCCGAGACGAGTCCAACTATACAAAAATTATCAAATTCCGATGTCAAATGGACCTTCAAATCTTAAATTTTTATTTTTTTGGGAGTTTTACAAAAAATCCAATTTCTTCCATCTAAATCCGAAATAAATGATGAATACAGACATGGATTTATGAAATATAATCACTTTTGGTTATAGAACACTTACCCAATTCAAAGTCGTGAAAAATTCCTTTGGAATCGCCAAAATCCAAGACTCAAAACTCAACAATGAGTAAAAATGGCTAAAACCCAATTTTATATATTCTGCCTAGCTTTTTTGCATCTGCGGACAAATTTTCGCATCTGCGGACGCGCATTTGCGGGAAAAAGCTTGCATTTACGGAACAGGGTAGCCAAGCAGAGGTCCACACCTGCAGTCCTTCACGTCGCAGAAGCGACTGTGCAGAAGCACGAAGGAAGTCGCAGAAGCGAGAAAGATCGCAGATGCGATCTTAGCACCGCAAAAGCGGGCATCGCACCTGCATCCCAAGCTTAGCAGAAGCAAAGCTTCTCCCCTGGCCTCAAAGTCGCAGAAGCGACACTGCCTCCGCAGAAGCGACCACGCACCTGCGGCCAAAATTGCGCAGGTGCGAAACACTAGAACCAGACCTGTAAGTTTTTACAAAAATGATCCGAAACACGTTTGAAACTCACCCGAGCCTCTCGGGACCTCGTCCAAATATCCCAACAAGTCCCGTAACATAATACGGACTTACTAGGGGTCTCAAATCACATAAGTCAAATCCGTGGTCAAACATTGGAAATCTTTAGCCTTTAAATTTCTAGTTTTCGTTAAATAGCGATAATTTGAGCTAGGGACCTCCGAATTCGATTCCGGGCATATGCTCAAGTCCCAAATTACGATATGGACCTATAGGAACTGTCAAAACAGTGACCTGTGTCTGTTTGCTCAAAATGTTGACTAAAGTTAACCTAATTGAGTTTTAAAGAACTATTTTATATTTTTATCAATTTTTCACATTAAAACTTTCCGAAAAAATTTACAGATTGCGCACGCAATTCGAGGACCGATGAATGGTGCTATTTGAGGTCTCAGAATACATAAATGATTATTAAATTTAAAGATGATCTTTTGGGTCATCACAATCTCTCTTTGGCCAAGGATCCGATTTATCTTTTTTGACTTTTTTCTTACTTTCTATTTATCTTATCTTATTGTTGTAAGAATAAATGTCTTAATCATTACTACTCCTCTCTTTTCTATTCTTTATTGTAAAAAATGTCTCAACAATAATTATTCCAGCCTTTCATATTCCTCCTTATTGTAACTGATCATTCCAATCGTATTCCTCATAATGGTCCTTATTTCTAACTTTTAGTACTATAAGAAAATGAACTCTAGTTTAGGTGCAGCCCTAGTTGTCGTCTTTTGCTATTTGCTTCCAAGAGTTCCGAACTACATTCCAATTTATCTTTTGTTTCTTAGTTCTTCAAGCTTTCTATTAGAATGCATGTGAGTCATTTTGCGGCAGCCAAATCGAAAGAGGACACGGTAAACTATAGCATTTCACAAATTTTCAATCATCATCTTATAACTATTCCGAAAAATTGAGATATACATTTTTTGGTTTTGACCGGTGGTTCTATTTTTTATTGATATGAGAAGGCATCCATGATATGGATAAGCAAATGTTCATCGACAATTGTAGTGATCATATGGCATTTAAGTTTCGCTGCTAAGGGGGTGTTGTCATTGTTGATGCATCTATGGAGGAGCAAACATGGAAGAAGGAACTTGTAAAAGCATAATCTCGTAATACAATGTTAGTTCACTTGAGTATTTTACCCAAAAGGATAAATATGGTCGTTGGTAGGCATCTATTTTTTCTTATAATTCAGATATTTAGACGACTTATTTCTGATGCGAGTGAAGAAATTGGTAACACACGATTATAGAACGAACTATGATCCTCTGCATAATTACAATAACTTTTGTTTCTAGTGAAGAAATTGGTAACACACGATTATAGAACGAACTATGATCCTCTGCATAATTACAATAACTTTTGTCTCTAGTGAAGTAATTGGTAACACACGATTATAGAACGAACTATGATCCTCTGCATAATTACAATAACTTTTGTTTCCTTTATTATTCATGTAAAAAAAATTATTATCGAACTTTCCAATTTAAGAAACAAAATCAGAATCACGTTCATACAACAAACAACTTATATGTTTTTATTCGTAAGATCGAACAAGTAACTTGACATGCATAATTGTTATAAACACATAAATAAAACGGCATATATGAGTCCAACCGTAATAGAATGGAACTAAGAGAGACGCCATGCATCAAAGGCAATGATGAAATATCATTGGTTTTTCAAGAAAATCCTCAAAGGCGACCAGCCTCCTCCATTCTAATTAAGTATGCTGCTATTGTTAGAGAAAAATGCAAGTGGCAACTGGCAACCATGAGAGGAAGGAGAGTAAGATGAACTACAAACTAAAATCCAAAGTCAAAAAGTGAATATCAAAATAAAACAGAATCTTTTCATAGCAACCATGCATTATTCGTGAAATAATGTGTAGTAACGAGTACGTAGGAAAATTGTATCTCCAGAACTCATATGTTTTAATCAATAGTAAATACTATACATTTGTTTGATGCACTTACAACTCTAATGATCTTCAAGCAGCATTTATCTCTTGTTTTTAGCTACATCGACAGATTTTATACGTCCCCTTTAATTTATTTGGAAGCATAAAATTGAAATAATTAATTAATGGGGAGGAATAATATGCATCTGATGGAGGATTTGTTCAAAATTGTCAGTTGGCTTGTCAATAGGATGAGTGTGCATGCCTTCGTAAGTTGTCACCACAACTCCTTCATCTTTGGAAAGGCGTTGTACTTGCTTCTTCACATTGCATCCTTGATGTGTACATTTGTAGTAGCTTCTGCAAATTAACAAGAATCAACATACTATATTATATCGCCACCTCATCTGGAAACTAACTTAAATAGGTTCCGAATTGTCCTCTAGTATAATTACCAACATGGCTATGCAAAGATTCAATTTTTTGTCTTAACGCATGTGAGCTGCCAACGTTGTTGTCTATCTGAGTTTAAATTCTAACAAACTAGGAGATTTCTTTTCATTTGTTTAAGCTTTGATGGACACCGCCGTTATTCAAAAGAGAAAAAAGAATCTTCTTTATTGATCAGGTGTTAATTACACATAAAATGAGTGCAAGGTACTATATAATTACTCCTCAAGATTCTGTCATTAGCTAGCTAGCAGTCGTCTAGATTCAAGAGGGTCGAGGGGGTTCCTGGTGCTAATTATTAAGACCCGCAAGATCTTAATATTTATCAATATCAAATTTTCCCTTCTAATTATAATTAACCATCAAAATCTGACTAGCTCACCAAAAAAATGATAAAAGAACTAGAAAGACTATTGTTCCCTCATCTCTTCTGTTTAGTTCCTTTGTTCGAAATTAAAACATGTATACGGGCTATGACTGCTATCTCATATAATATTTCTAACTTAATTAAAAAGGTGACTATAAGTAGCATCTTATTTAAGATCGAAGAATGTTCATGTGTTTTTGAGTACTGGCGTGATATATATACCGCGATAATAACAACAACAACAAACCCAATGTAATCACTCAAGTGAGGTCTGAGGAAGATATTGTGTACGCAGATCTTACTCCTACCCTGTGAAGGTAAAAAGAGTACTGTTTCCAATAGATCCTCGATTGGCTCAAGGAAAGCATAGTCACAACAGTTTTGAAAAGAAATACGGTAGTGAAAAAGTCATGGAAAAAAAACAGTAACAACAACAAGAAAATAAGAAAATCGAAAATATATGGCAATAATAAGGGCACTAAATCACAGTTTAAATTTTTCATTCATAACAGTAAAACTAAAGATAAATTAAGTATATGATGAGACATAACAATACTACTCCATTTTAAGAAGGATAAGGTAGTGTTGGGACAAACGAAATTACCTTGGGTAGTTGTTGTTCTTGACAGCTTTTTGTCCATATTTTCTCCAGCGATAGCCATCATCAAGAATATCAACCTGGCTTCTTGTTTGGAAAGCAAATCTGGGCTTCTTAATTTTCTTATCCCCCTTCTTCTTAAGCGATGATATAATATTGGTAGTATGAGTTTCTGATGAAACAACTCCCACAGGGCTGTGTTTTATGTTGGATACGTGTTGCTCTCTTGCTGTAGAATTAGAATTCTCGGTCTTTAATCCCGAGATCCATCCATTCATAGAGTTGTAACAACATGTTGAACCAAGAAAGGGCATCCACTGATTCTCCATTTATTAGTAGGATAAAAGAGCACCTTAATATAAAGGAGCGCGGCTTGTCTGATAATTGTTGGCAACTACTAAGATGCTAGACAATTGTGAAACAAATGTTTGTATTAATTGACAAGATACATATATGATCAAAATGGTTAAAGTTGTAAAATAAAATGGAATATATAGTGATTTTGAAGGACTGGTATTTCCTAGATAATAATGTGGAAAATTAAAGTTACCGGCGGCTAGCTTGGTCAAGTCATCATTAACTTTGAGAATGAGAACAAGGAAATGAAAATTTGAGTGCGTAGAAAATTAGCACTTATAGCCAGTAGAATACGTGAAATACTTCCTGTCGTTGTCTCCACGGTATAGACTAAGAGCTTGTTTGACGGAGGCCAAAAATACTTCTTTTTTTCCCTAAAAAATGTACTCTTTTAAAAATTAAAGTTGTTTGGCCAAGACGGATAAGTACTTTTGGCCAGCAGTAGTTTTTCTGCTTTTGGGAAGAAGCAGAAAATTAATTTATTCAAAACAAAACTATCCTCACTATAAATTTATATTTTTCAAATTATTTCTTATTGATTTAATTTTTTTTTTGTTTTTAGTTTTTGCCATTCTTTTAAATTTAAAGATATCATATACATGAATCATATTGTAACTTTTTAAAAAATTTATTGACTTTTTTATTTTTTTATTTTTTCTTTGTGTAATATCTTATAACTTTCCAAATTATTTTCATCTTTTCTCACACTAAAGCAAATTATCTACATCCTTCTTTGGATTATCAATTCTCTTCTTACAAATAATTATTTATAATTTTTTCTCATATAGGCTATTAATTCCCCGATCTTTAAAACTGTTATCAAATCTAATTTGTGAAAATTACCTACAAATAGGTAATAAATTTATAATTGCATCGCATAATCTATATATTATTAAAAGAAGAAGAAAAAGCCTCCACACTAAGCCAAATGGCAGCCTCGCAATTGGCCACTTGGCAATTCAGGACAAAGTTAGTTAGGTTAGGTAATAATTAGTTTCTTTTAGAATTTAAATTTTTAAAAAATTAAATTATGCATTATGTGTTGTTAATAATTAGTTACTCTTTTTGAATTTGAATTTAAACATACTTAACTATTATTTTTTATGAAAATAATATTTTTTTTATATATTTAAATTTATTTTTATTTTACGTTCAATGCCATATTTCAAGTTTGACACTCAGAATTATCTTGTTACAACTACCATAGTTATACAAAATTTTATCCGACGAAATTCTTCTACCGATAAGGAATTCAACTATTATGCTAACGAAGACATTACTGTAGATATTGAGGAAGGAGATGGATGGGCCTTCTGGTATTCCTTTAGAAATGCAAGGCAAGACTTCTACTAATATAGAGGCGTTGTGTGATAGAATTAAAGATGAAATTATTGAGAACTGTTATCATGTGTGAGTGACTTTGCTTATTATTTTATGGTTGATTATCAATACATAGTAATTTGTGGAATAGACTTTTAATTCATACTGAATGATGTATTTTGATTATTCAAATTATCATGTAAACAATAAGTAATTATACTAGATAATATTATATGCTTTGATATAATTATATATGTTATATTAATTTAAATCTTTAATATGTATGTTTACTTTATATTTTATATTTTAATAAAATAAAATAAAAAATAATAAAAGTTTTTATGATAAATATTTATGTTCATTTTTCTCTTTAAAATAATTATAAGACCTTGGTACTATCCTTTTTGATAATTTGACACTCAAAAGTGCTTTTTAGAAAGATCGGCCAAACACAATTTGTTTATCAAATATTGCAAAAGTACTTCTTAAATGAATTGGCCAAACACAAATTATTTTTTTTCAAAAGTACTTTTGGATAAAGCACTTCTGGAAAAAAAAGTACTTTTCAAAATAAGCAATATTTGGCAATTTGGCCAAACGGGCTCAAAGGGGGAAAACTGGAAAAGAAATCAACTCCACGACCTGTACAATTAATACTGAATTTGCATATATTCAAAATTTTATTTAGATAAAGAGGGGCTTATCCAGTCCATCATCTCTAATAAGTTGTTGAAAAATCAAATGATAATAAAGGAAAGAGAAATGAGGAAAATAAGAAAAACAATTGCATATATACAAGAAAAGAAAACTAAAACATGTCAATTAATTAGAAAACGAGTAAACCATTGTAGGTATGTATATACGAGGTTTACAATAAAGTAGAGGGTCAAGAAGAAAAAGAGAAAAGAGGTCTTTCTGAACTTTCTAAGAAGGTATATAGACGACGCGGCTGGAGTCCATTTACAAATGTTCATACATCATACATAATTTCATCACACCGTTATTGATTAATGAAACCAGTTTATCCAAATGAGACTTATCCTACTGGCAATCTTTTCCAAGAATAACTATGCAATGATATTGAAATGTTGGTCAATGTTCACACAGTTTGAATCTTGGGAAATAAAAAGTGTCTCATAAATTTGGATGGAGGGAATAAATAAATAAAAGTATCTCCTCTTAGCTGTTTAAATTTTCAGACAAGACTTTATACATACTTAACTCCACAACAATTTACTATGGGTGAGTACGTATTCTTTATGTAAATGCAACTTTCTGATGGTGCACATACATATATATGATTTTAGATCTGTCTATTAGAAAGTAGCTAGGATAAGAATTAAGATTAGTCCGAGCAATAATAGTGACAATGTAAATAGTACCCTATTTTACATAATGTCCTTCTGGAAGCATGAGTGAATGTTTGATCTAGAAAGCCAGCAAAAAAATTATATATACCATTGTTTTACTACGTACGACGGTATTAATTCCTCTTTGATCTTGACGAGAGCAGTTATGCATGACACCAGAAAATTTGACTACTATAATTTGATCATGCAGTGGAGCCAAATTATTTTCAAAGGGGAGTCAAATTGTCAAAATATAAATAAGTAAAATGTCTAGGTCCCCAAATTTGGGGGGGCCCATTTTTTTAAAAAATAGGTTTATAGGTATTTAAAAAATAATATTTAGTACTTTTTAATACAAAATTAGAGTTTTTAATATAAAAGGAAATAGAGCTCTTTAAATATGTAAATAAAGTAATAATTTAACATATTTAAAAATGGATAGATAAATAGTTTTCGCAACGTTTCTGTTTTACTCCATAATTAGATAATGTATACAAAAATTCACTCTCCCTTTCTTAATATGTCCAAGTCAATCTTTCTTTTCTCCACTCTCTTTATATTTCAGAAACTCCTATATATTTTATGTCTTTCTCTTTAATATTCTTACTCACCTTCTTTCTCCAATATTTCATTACTCACTTTCTTTCTACAAGATTTCATTAGCTCCACTATTCAATAATACTTTTAAGCTTCCAATAATTCTATACTTCTATTGCTCTATAAAATATTACTCCCTCCGTTCCAGTTTATGTGAACCTATTTCTTTTTTGGTCCGTTCCAAAAAGAATGACCCCTTTCTAAATTTGGAAATAATTTATCTCAAACTTACAATTCTACCATTAATGAGAAGCTTTTATAACCACACAAATACTCTGTGCCCTTTTTTGACTTGTTTAGGACCACAAATTCTAAAAGTCTTCAATTTTTCTTAAACTTCGTGCCCAATCAAACAGGTTTACATAAACTGAAACGGAGGGAGTATCTAATATCAACAATATCTCAAGAAAAATTAAATGAGCTGGCTATATTATCAATTGAATAAAGATAATTAGAGAAAATTGATTATAAAAAAGATTATTAACAACTTTGTATTTCAAAAAGTTAGAAGAATATATTTCAAATAAAACGTATGTTATAACTATCTTTTAAAAATTTAGGCCTCATATTAAATTTTGGCTTTAGGCCCCGCATATCCTTGAGCCGCCCCGTGTATATGCATAATATTTTGGCAAAGGCATATCAAATTGCACAAAAGTGGTTCCACCACTATTCATCATTGTTTAATAGAGTAGTTGGACAAAGACAAGTACTATCAAAATATATGGCTGTAGAGAGCACGTGCTTTGGAATAAGGTTTTATGTAAGACTATTCATATTCATAATAGTCTGCTAGACTGCTATGGGCAGCCTCCTGTCTTTGGTTACAAATATAATATGCTACAAAATATTGATTCAAAGTTGCCTCAAATGTCAAAATATTCAAAGCACCAAATAATAACGTAACAAAGCGCCCCTCAGATGTCGTTGTCGTGACTCGTTAAAGAATCCTGTATTTTCTTTTCTTTGTTTATGGACGTAGTCGTCAAAGATAGGCTAATCGACCTTTCGTATGAATTAATGTTAGAATATCACTTTGACGTATTAGGATTTTAATTCCAAATATATTATCACATCAAATGATATTCATATCACCAAGGTTTCAAGTTTTCTAGAATGATAAAAGTGATTAAATTTCCCATTGTCGATTTTCATTACTCAAAAAGAAAGAAGACGTACAATTACAGAGAATGAGTTAAAGGAACACCGTTTCGTGATTTAATGAGGTTATGATGTATTATTAATTAACCATAATTAAGTGACAGAAGTCCATTTGCAAACACTAGTTATGCATCTATGGTTTAGTGTAAATATTGTGCCGGTAAATATTTACAATGAGAGGCGTAATAATGTGCCACTAACTTATTCATGCAATGAATGAAGGTACTAGCTAGTAGCCCTCTTGTTCTTCATGTTCTTTAAATTCTGGAGAGGAAATAAAGTCCTCGAAACGTGACTACTTAAATGTCAAATCAAAATTGAAACTAAAACTGAATTATGTTTCCCTCTTTCAGTGGAATTATATGGGCTTTCATGTTTTATCCAACCGCATTTAGGGTCTTACCAAATATCACATACATTACTAATTTTAATTTCAGAGAATCTTGGGCCACCATATTTTACACCTGAGCTAGGCCCAACACTATGTTAGAGGCCAGGCTCAGTCAGGCGGGTTTAATTATTTATCTTTTACTATTTTGCCCTTGCGTTATATATAGTGGGGCTGATTGTAAATAACTGAACCATGTATCATTTTGTATAATTGAATGTAGAATTCCCGATATTTTCTCTCTCCCCATTCTTCTAGAACTTTCATCTCTGCTTCGATTTCGTTCGAATTCATGGAGGGAACTTAAATCTTATCATGTTATCAGAGCAAGGTTGAGTAATCCTCTTCATCTGACGGAGTAATTTCTGATTTTTAGCTCGTTTAGGGATGAATCATGCAATCTAGGGTTTTGCGATTTCGCCTACGGTTTTGCGAGTTTTTTTTTTCTTTGTGCGGTTTTGTTTCTGGACGTTTCTACTTCAGCATTGTGAGATTCTGCTGGTTTTCTCTGATTGATTCACTTTTCGAGTCGGCTAAAGTAGTTTTTTTGGATAGAGTTGGTTTTTAATTGACTGTCACTCGAAAAGGAAAAAGTTTAATTCCTTTTTTCTTTGATTTCTCACTCAGCGCATGTGTGAGTTGGTAGTTTTTTCAAATTATTGCATGTCTATTTGAGTGTTTCACTATTGCAATGGGTGATAATTCATCAGTTTCAAATTTACGTACTACTGCTCTAGATTCGGGGTCTACTGTGACTACTCTTATTGATCCTTCACATCCATACTACATTTTCTCTTGTGATGTATCGGGGATTTATCTAGTATCCACTCTTTTTGATGGTACAGGATATGTGAATTGGAGTAAGGGAATGTTGATGTCTCTTTCTGCTAGGAACAAAATAGGTTTTATAGATAGATCATGCCCTAGACCTTCTGTTACTTCACCTCTTTACAAGGCTTGGGATAGATGTGACAATTTAGTTGGAACATGGATTTTGAATGCTTTAACCACGCAAATAAGGAATAGTGTTCTGCACTCTAAGTCGGCAAAAGACATGTGGGATGACTTGAGAGATAGATATAGTCAACCTAACGAGGTTCGGATCTATCACCTCAAGAAGGATTTGGTTGGGGTGACACAAGGGAATAGTGACATAGCAACATATTACTCTAGACTTAAGAAACTATGGGATGAATTGAGTATTCTTAATTCTTTTATGACATGCTCTTGTTGTGATTGTATCTGTAAATGTATAGCAAAAGGGCATAATGCTGTTATGATTGAGAGTGATAAAGTGCACTAGTTCCCCATGGGTCTAAATGAATCTTACACCGTATCAAGAGGTAATATTCTCATGATGACACCACTTCCTAGCCTGTCCAAGACATACTTTTTGTTAGTACACGAAGAAAAATAGAGAGAAGTACAAGCAAGTGTGTCCTTCATAACTGAGGCTGCTTCTCTCATTGCTAGAGGCAACAACATGCGGCAACCTCAAACTCAGAATCAAGGTTTAAATCATAATCAAAATCATAACATGAATTTCAGAAATGGCAACAATGGTGAAAAATTCAACATTGACTTTAGGGCTGGACAGAAGTATATGGGAGATGGAAGAAAAAATACTATGTTTTGCAACTACTGTAAAAAGTCTGGGCACCAAATTGATAGGTGTTACAAGTTGCATGGCTACCCCAACAATAATCAACCTCAGAATAGATTCAACAATAAACAGAAGGCTAAAAGAACTGCTGCTATGGTACAAACTTCTGAAAATGATGAAGGAACTGGATCAAAATCTGGACAGTCTACTGTATGTGGAGGAGCAATAACCAAGGAGCAGATGAGCCAATTTATGCAGCTCCTGCAGAATGTTGTTGTTGGGTCTCAAGGTTCTTCTCTTCCTGGAGGCATTGGTTCTGCTAACTTGGCAGGTAAGGTTACTGATTTAGATTCTAGCAGCTTTGCACAGTCTGTCTCATCTGCCTCATCTGATTCTTTGTCTCAAAAATCCTGGATCATAGATTCAGGGGCTACAGACCACATGACTTCTATCTTGTCTCTTCTTTATGGAATCAATCCCCTTCCTACTCCTTACTTAGTTGCTTTACCTAATGGCTATAAGGTAAAGATCCATTCAGTAGGTTCACTTCCTTCGTCTAAAACACTTTCACTTCACACTGTGCTGCATGTTCCCTCTTTTCAGTATAACCTAGTATCAGTTCATAAACTATGCAAGCAAATTAAAGGATTGGTTTGTTTCAGTGAGTCTACTTGCTTCTTGTTGCAGGGCCCTTCTCCAAAGAGGCCACTGGAAGTTAGTAGTGAAGCAGATGGGCTTTACATCTTGTAGCCAGCGAAGTTTCTTAGTGATGGTTTTATCCCTTTAACTCCATCTGTTCCTTTGAATAAATGTGTACCTAGTTCCAAATGTAATGTTTCCAAGAACAGTGAGAATATCTCTAAGTCTAAGTCTGTAAATTTCATTTTGAATGATAAGCATACCTTGTGGCATTATAGATTGGGACATTTACCTTACAATAAATTGAAGTCTATTTCTTCTAAGCTTTCCATTTCTGTACCTTCAACTTAACAATTTCCTTTTCGTATTTGTCCTTTAGCTAGGCAAACAAGGAACTCCTTTCCTTCCAGTTCAACAACTACTACTTGTCCTTTTGCTCTTGTTCATGTAGATGTTTGGGGGCCTTATAACACTATTACACATTCTGGGAATAGATATTTCTTAACTTTGGTTGATGATTATTCTATATCTACTTAGACTTATCTTCTCAGTATAAAATCTAATGCCTTCACAACTTTGAAAGCTTTCATTCTCATGGTTGAAACTCAGTTTAATTACAGAGTTAAGATAGTGAGATCTGATAATGCTCTTGAGTTAGGATTAGGTCATGAATCTTCTTCCTTTTTCTCTCTAAAGAGATTCTTCATCAAACATCTTGTGTAGAAACACCTCAACAAAATGGAGTTGTTGAAAGGAAACATAGATACTTACTTGAAACTGCAAGAGCACTTCTTTTTCAATCCAAAGTGCCTTTGAAATATTAGGATGGGGGGGTGGGTGTATTCTGACTGCAACCTATTTGATTAACAGATTTTCTAATTCTGTCTTACAAGGAAAGACTCCTCATGATCTTCTCTTTGGTACACTTCCTTCATATGATCATCTTAGGGATTTTGGTTGTCTTTGCTACATTTCAACACTCAAATGGGGTAGGGATAAGTTTTCACCAAGGGCAATTCATTGTATATTCTTGGGATACCCTTTTGGGAAGAAAAGTTATAGGGTATTAAACCTTGCCACTAAATAGATTGTGATGTCCAGGGATGTGGTGTTTTATGAGGTTGTTTTTCCTTTTGCTTTGCAACAACAGTTTCCTTCTTCTGAGTTTCATGCATCTCCCCCTCCTCCTGATTTTTCTTCCCTTTGTCTTTCTCCAGAATCCTCTTCTTTACCCATATCTACAGCTTCCTCTTCATCTCTACCTGCAGATTCTTCTTATCCTCCTTCTCCATCTTCCTCTACTATGACTCCACTCACTCCTACTCATGTTCCTGCACCTTCTGCTCCATCCCCTTCTATTCCTCCAGTTGTTCCATTGAGGAAGTCATCCAGAACTCACCAAAGACCTAGGTATCTTCAAGACTTTGTGTGTAACTCTGCCTCTATTTCATGTCCTTCCCTTTCTTCTGTTTTACCTGCTCACACCAATATGAAGCATATTTGTTTTTCTGCTTTGTTTTGTCAATCTCAATCCTTTATTAACTCTCTTTTCACTGTGCAAGAGCCTAGATCTTATTCTCGGGCAGCTTTGCATCCAGGATAGCAAGAAGCCATGTCTAAGGAATTTGAAGCCTTAGCGACAAACAATACTTGGAGTTTGATTCCTCTGCCTGTTGGGAAGCATGCCATTTCCAGCAAATAGGTTTATAAGATTAAGCATAGTGCTGATGGTTCTATCGAAAGGCTCAAAGCCAGGCTTGTCATTAGAGGAGATACCCAAAAGGAGGATCTTGACTACACAGAAACGTTTTCTCCCGTAGTCAACATGACCAATATCAGGTGCCTTTTAGCTGTAGCTGCCAAGAATCAATGGCAACTTTTTCAGCTAGATGTTAATAATGCATTTTTGTGTGGAGATTTAATGGAGGAAGTGTATATGAAGGTCCCTCCAGATATGGTTGTCACTTCTTCTGATTTGGTTTGCAAGTTGAACAAATCTTTGTATGGTCTCAAACAGGCATCCAGACAATGGTATTCCAAGCTATCTGATGCCTTACATTCCAAAGGTTTTCAACATTCTAAGAATGATTACTCTCTGTTTTTCAAGCACTCAACTACTGGTTCGGTGTATTTGGGGGTCTATGTAGATGATATTGTGTTAACTGGTAATGATGTAGAAGGCATCCTTCATCTTAAATAATTTATGGATACTCAATTCAAGATCAAGGAGTTAGGCTCTTTACATTACTTTCTTGGTCTGGAGGTCATGTATGTGTCTGATGGTATTATGGTGAATCAAAGGAAGTTTTCTCTCGAGTTGGTTGAGGAATTTGGGTGTACTGATTCCAAGCCAACCTCCAGTCCTCTTCCTTTGGGTATGAAATTGTCTTCTGATGTGGATAGTTTGCTTTCTGATCCTTCTATTTACATCAGGCTAATTGGCAAACTCAATTTCTTAACTCATACTAGGCCTGACTTGGCTTATACGGTTTAGCATCTTAGTCAATTCATACAAACTCCCAGGTGATCCCATTTGGATGCTGCTTTGCATACTGTGTGCTACATCAAAGGATTGTCTGGTTTGGGACTTTATTTTTCTTCTCATTCCTCTTTTTCTATGGCTGTATTTTGTGATTCGAATTGGGCTTCTTGCCCTGATTCCAGGAGATCGGTTAGTGGGTTTTTTGTTACATTGGGCTCCTGGCCTATCTCTTGGAAGTCGAAAAAGCAGACTATCATTTCTTTATCATCTGCGGAGGCAGAGTACAGGTCTGTTTGGAGATTGGTGGCTGAATTAACTTGGCCATGTCAACTATTGGAGGATATGAATGTTACTAATTTGACTCCTGTTGTTGTGCATTGCGATAATCACTTTGCTATTCAAATTGTGAAGAATCCTGTCTTTCACGAGCGGACTAAACACATCGAGTCAGACTGCCATTTTATTCGGGAAAAATTGCAAGATGGCTTGATTTCATTGTATTATATACCTTCTAGTGCCCAACTTGCGGATATTTTCACTAAGAGCCTTCCTGGACAGGCCCATTTTGCAGCAAATGTCCAAGTTGGGAGTGGGTTCCTCTGGCCCCACTTCCAACTTGCGGGAGGGGGGGAGGGGAGAAGGGGGAGGGGTGTTGGGCCACCATATTTTACACCTGAGCCAGGACCAACACTGCGTTAGAGGCCAGGCTCAGTCAGACAGGTTTAATTATTTATCTTTTACTATTTTGCCCTTGAGTTATATATAGTGGGGGCTGATTGTAAATAACCGAACCATGTATTATTTTGTATAATTGAATGTAGAATTCCCGATATTTTTTCTCTCCCCATTCTTCTAGAACTTATCTCTGCTTCGATTTCGTTCGAATTGATGGAGGGAACTTGAATCTTATCAGAGACCTCCCTCCCAGTTTTGCTCCATCACACTTACCTCCTTTTTGGTTTACAATATTACGCTTACCTCCCTTGTTATGATTTCTGTATAACCATTCTTTAAACCTATTTATTATTACTAATAGAAATAAAATATCATTTGACAAATTTACCCTTTTTAAAATTAATTCCCTTTTAACAAATTCAAGAATAGCAAATTAATTTCCTTAGCTAAATCTACGAAACCCTACCAATTACTTTAAATGTTGCCGAAAAGGTATTTGCAGCTAGCCAAACGTCTTTGGTGATGTATAATCTGCTTGATTCCTACAGCCCAGAAGCACCTTTCAAGTTTTTTCAATGGCATTTCCATAGTTATTGAAAACTTGAGGGCCGTTTAAACTTTTGGCCGTAGATAGGAGACCGACGCCGCTTCAAGTTACGGCTACAGTTTTTCTATGGCGTCCACGAAATTGGTATTTAAATACCCATTTTCGATGAAAGTGGGGAATTTGACACATATTCCCCTAAAGAGTTCATCTGTTCCTTTTTTAATTGATTTATTGGAAAATTCAAGATACAAAGAAGAGAAAAAGGTTTGTGTAATTAAAATGACAACTGCCCAAGCACTTTTCTGAAAATATTTGAAACGCAGAGCTAATGTTTATTGAGTTCAAAACCCATTTTGT